CTCTCTCTCTCTCTCTCTCTCTCTCTATATATATATATATAATATATGACATGTGAATAACCAATCGAAAGCTCAGAATGTCCCCCTATTGGCTTTTTCAGGAATTTTCATGTTTTATGACATCACCTTGTTCTTTCAATACAAATCTTCAAGGGGATAAGTTAAGTATTTAGTCTGCTCATAATTTCATATTTTTTAAGACCCAAATACAGCTTAATTGTTAAGCTTGATAAATTATAGTGAAATTCTATGGTATTGATATAACAATTTACGAATTTTTAGTTATTTCAAATGTACATATAAAACCTAAAAAAAAAAATATGTTTCACATCCTCCATGTGCAAAATTTTATAAGGCTTAGCAACCTATGACAATCAGCAAACAAGTACACAGGATGTAACTAGAAGATATAATTGTTTACTTTACTATTTTATTTACTTATTTTATTTATTATAATGTATATACATATATTATGTATAATAATTGAAATGTGACTGAATTTTACAAAATACTAGTCCAATAATTAAAACACTGCCAAAACAGGTCAATTGGTAAAGACTAAAGGTCAGTTTTATATTACTGGATAATAAAATGAGTGCACGTGTGTCACGTCATTGTATCTTCTGTATTGTTAGCCAGGCATGGTCGAGAGGTCAATATAATAAAAATAATAAATATATATAAATGTATAATGTTATGAGATTTAAGTTATTTAGTCTAAACATTTATGTTTTCATGATATAATCTGTAGTCATTCTAGAACGAAAAAGGCATAATTTATATTTATTTCCTAATTTTATTTGGTGGTTATGAGATCGGTTAAATCGACCCAACCAATACAGAGATTTGTTAGTGAAAATAACAGATAAAATAAAAAGTTTTTTTATTAAGAAACATTTGATAACTATTTGGACATTATAAAGATTTAGTATGTGAAATTTGAAAATTTTTTGATGTATGAAAGTATTTTTGATCTTAAAATAAAAAATACTTTGCATGTTGGATAGGCAAAATGTGAAAATAGAAAAGGCATAAGAAAAACATTGCTTAACAGACCTTAAGACTTAATAAAAAAAATCTTATGTTTTGCATATGAAAGCCTTGTAATGTTTACTGATAATCTGCCATATTTCGTGAACATATGCTTTCTAATTAAGAAATTATAGGATGAAACGTATAACAAGTAAGTACAAAATGGTTACAAGGTCGGTCTCAGGGACAGAGCTCGTGCTGAAAGAGTTAAGTAGCCAGTCACATGCAAAAGTTCTGTAACTTATAATAAATTTTCTAGTGTTTATGATACATACAAAAAGACAACCAAAAATAATAATAAAACCTTTCTGGTACAAAAATGTTGTATAAAATCAATAAATACTAAAAATTAACAATTCAAACTTCAAGATAATTTCAGGTAATATAAAAATACCTGGCTAAGGTTTAAAACAATTATCAGTGATGATAATAATCTGTTTTTTAATATCTTTTTTCTAGAATGGAAGTCACAAACTTATTTCAAAGTTATTCTTTAAATTCAGTATGAAACCATTTATATATTTTAATAATCTGAAAAAAAACAAAATGAACATAATTACCAAAGATAATGCTTGTTGAACCTAGGAGGAAATAACTTTTTTTTAAATATTTTTTCATTTCAAGTCTTATACCTTCTTATAATAACAAAGACATCTTCAGATAAACTAGTTGTTGAAAGATCCTTTAAACTAGAAATGCGAAATAACACTAACTACATTTAAGTAAGTAACTATGTACCTGCTCCTTCTCTGCTCCCTATCATGGCTTCTACTATGGCATCTATAATGCCAATTGCGACTACGAGATCTACTTTGTCTTTCTTTGCTGCTGCTTCTACGAGAGCGATTTTCTCTGCTCCTACTATCATGATTACTTTTTCCTCTGCTCCTACTTCTATGACTTCTTCTACTGCTTTGGCTTATACTCCTACGACTTCTTCTACTACTTCGGCTGTGGCTCCTGCTTTTTTGACTTCTCTTGCTACTCTTGCTCCTACTACGATGATGTCTTAAAAATTTATAAATGAAGATTAAAAGAACATTCTAAATAAATTCTGTTTTGATCTATGATAAAATTAAAAAGATTCGTGAAACCTGATTTGTTTTTTCAGCATAAATTAACTATTCATTACAAACACTAAAAAGGTTCAAAAATTAAATTTATTAAGTGTGTATTTTATTTTTGGCTCATTTCATCTAGTTTTCAACTGAAAGATAAAAAATGCATATATTACAGAAAATGACAGTTGTCCATGTATCTTAGATGGGGAGACTGATAACTGTAAAACTTTAGCAATTAATTTATGAATTACCAGACAGTCATGCATAATAGTGAGAGACTTCCAATAATCAAAGTACATGGAAACAAGAACAGTCTATGATAAGTAACCTTATCTCTTGGTAATAACTGCTTTCACAAATAGCAAACCTCTACTGATGTGTGAAACTGTGTTGTCATAACTGCTACAGAACAGTTGTTAGCTGCATATGCATGTGTGTGTGAAAAATGACTGAAATACACTCTAGATATTTGCATCAGTTTATTTGTAGCACACACACACACTAGCAGAATTATTAACTTAATTTTAGTTTTGGAAAGAGCAAGATAAAAAAAATTATCATTATCAAAATTTTGTGAAACATTTTGCATTTCATTCCTTGCCTTCACATTCAAATTTTAGTTTTTCAAAGAAAACATGATTCTATACCTTTAACTGCAGAGCAAGCATCAATGCTAATGTATCAAATTTAAAGAACATTCTCAGGCTTACATAATTGTTAAAATTCGGGTATTAACTACATCCTAGTAAAACATTCTGTATGGTGAGAACAGTTAATTTTTTAATGTGTACAGTGAATGCATGAAAATCAAATAATAGATAATATTTACAAATTATGTATACACATTTTAAAATTTTTAAAGCAAATTAACCCTTTCCTGACGGGTTCAGTATAACATGTACGAGTTAAGTATTTATACTATAACTTGTAATGTAGTAAGTGAATCTTCACAAAATTTGGTAGACTTTCAGTAAAGATTACAAGTTTTTCGTACACAAAAAATCAGATTTTTTAAGGAAGTATTTTTATTACAGATTTGTTTGTGAAAATATCGAGTTTGTTTCGTACCAGTCCAAGTGCACAGTGATTTTCATGTTATAACTAAAAAGCTATTGTTTGTCCCAAAAATCTCAAATATTATTTGTGTAATTTCCATAGCCTTCTAAATACATTTGAAACGTTTTTTTTCAGTAAAACTTTATATTTTTTCCGTTATTTTGTCTACCCTAGCTCTATGGGGTCTGTCAATCTGACTGGCCTCGTAACCACCATAAAATATGAGGAAATAAATTTAAATTATGCTTTTTTCATTCTAGAATAACTACAGATTGTAACACAAATGTTTAGTCTCAATAGCTTAAATCTCATAACATTATACATTTATATATATTTATTATTCTTATTATACTGACCTTTCAGCCATGCCTGGCTAACAAAACAGAAGTTACAATGATGCAGCACACGTGAACTCGTGATACTGTATCCAATAATAAAAAACTGGGCTTTACAAGGTGACCTGTCTTGGCTGTGTTGTAGTGGATTAGTATTTTGAAAAATAGTGTCACATTTCTATTATTATACATTATATATGTATATACATTAATATTACTTACAAATAATTTCTTATATTTATTTTTCTTAAAACGTAGAACAGTAAATAAAGTAAATAAAGCAAACAATTATCTTTTCTAGTTACGACTTTTGTACTCATTTGCTGCTTATTGTAGGTTGCTAAGCCTTATGATATTTCTCACATGAAGAATGTGAAAAGAATATTTTTTTAGGTTTTATATGTACATTTTAAATAACCAAAAAAATCATAAGTTACTATATCAATACCATAGAATTCCACTATAATTTATCAAGCATAGTAACTAAGCTGTATTTGGGGCTAAAAAATATGAAATTTTGAGCTCGCTAAAGACTTACCTTATCAACTGAGATCTTGTGTGAAAAGAACAAGATTAACACAATAACACGTCAAAATGGCAGAGAAAACCACTAGGAGGAAATCCTGAGCTTTTGATTGGTTATTTATGTCATATATAGAAGTAAGTGTATATAAGGGAGCATTTCCAAAAATGGAAAGAGATGGGCAGGGGGCCACTGTGTTTGATTCAGTACATAAGCAATATATTAGCAAATAGAAAATATAAGAGGTTCTTATATATTCTAGCTTGTCAATATCAGTGTTTTGAGTTCCTAATTCGTATAAAACTGTAGATTTTGTATTTTGACATCTAATTTGAACTAGTGCTGCATTCAACATACCACGCAACACACAAAAATCGATGTTTTTTTTATATTTACTTTTAAATTATGAAATTGAGTAAGGTATAATACTAAAATTTCAATTATAATCTACAGTTTGATACCAAACTTATTAACACAAGTTGATGAAATAGTAGTTTAATAAAATTTTGTATGCTATTCAACAAATGTGATTACATGGCCTTTCACCTGTGATCTAGTCTAGAAATGGTTAAAGTGACAATGTGACACACAACAAAAAAAAAAAAAAAAATCGATGTTTAGGTGTGTTTTTTTTAATATTTACTTTTATATTGAGAAATTAATTAACGTATAATACTAAAATTTGAATTATAATCTACAATTTGATACAATACTTATTGACATAAATTCATAAAATAGTAGTTCAATAACATTTTGAATGCAAGTCAACAAACACAATCACATGGCCTTTGACACGTGACCTATCATGATTGTGTTAAATTTGAAGTCAGACTATTCTTGGTATGGCATGGCCAGATGGTTAGGGTGCTTGAATTGCAATATGATGGTTGCGGGTTCAAATCCCTGTCCCACCAAACATACTCGCCCTTTCAGCCATGGGGGCATTATAATGTGATGGTCAATCCTATTATTTGTTGGTAAAAGCCCAAGAGTTGGCTGTAGGTGGTGATGACTAGCTGCCTTTGCTCTAGTCTTTCACTGTTAAATTAGTGACAGCTAGCACAGATAGCCCTCATGTAGCTTTGCACAACATTCAAAAACAAATAAACAGACTATTCTTAACTTTTCATTAGACAGACTAAAACACTTAAATTCTAGTAAGAATAGTAAATTACTTGGCGAGATCCAAATGAGCATTATTTTAAGCTTTCTTTGTTCACATACAATGAAATTTGTGTCTTGCATTTATTGCAAAAGTACTCAGTTTATCTGCCACTATCTCTAATTTCTATCTACTGACCAGAGGGTAGTAAGCCAGTCAGCAGCACCTACACCATTCACATCACATCTTATAATGCACCCACAGCTTGATAAGCAGAGAAAATTTTGTGGTATGACATACATTTGAACCCAGCCTGCCAGCTCCAAAATCCAAAGTTTTACTACAGAGCCAACCCTTTCTCCCACATATGATGGAATATTCCTGTACTTCATTGCTAATATTTATAACATTTATGGTACAAGAAAATGCTTTATATATAACATTTCAAACAAACCAATGGGAGATTATTTTTAATTATTACAGATTTGCAAAAGTCTAGTCTCGCATAAGTAATGCCTATGGATACTAATGAAAAGTGTCCAATGTAGATTGCATAATTTATCCTCACAAATGAACTGGCATTTCAAAACACTTAACCATTTATTTGTGCATTTTGCACATATCAGGCTTCTGGTCAAAGAAAGGCATTCATATTCAGTTTGACAAGACCATAAAGGTTAAAAAAATTTTATAGGAACAAATTATGTTTTTATTGCAATAAACAAACTTTCATTCTTATTTTTTTGTTTCTTAATAATACCAGCATAACAAATATGCATAGCACAAATACCATCATAATCATTCATACAAACCTTTTGTTTTCTTTATCAGACACTGAGCATTCTGATGATGTGCCACACTGAACCTACATAAAAAATATATTATTAAATTAAAAATAAACATAAATATGGTTCATATAAAAAGCTTTGAACTAATTCTAGAAATTCGTTTTGATAAAATTCCAAAATCTGCTGAAATAAAATATCTTCAATTTAAATACTCACACAGAAGTTCAAGAATTACTCCTCCCATGTAACATTTGTCAGTTTGTTTAATAGAAAATACTACACAGATTTATCATCATGAAAAGGCTGTATGCTGATCATGATAAAACTTTAAAAATTAAGACTGATAAAAAAAACTGTTTCAGATTGCTATTTGTACCTTTTAGCAAAATAAACTTAAACACACACACATGCAGACACTCCAAATTACAACTTTGGCAGGTAGCATGGTATAGATGCCAGCTGTAAGAAACTATTTTCAGTGTAAAAGAATCGTAAGTTATAAAAAGAGTACATGTGTGATTACTCCTCCAATCCTTTCATCTAACGAATATTTATCATATCTATTTAACAAAACAGCAGAGCAATCAAGCTGTTTTATTATTTTTTTACATATATAATTAATTTGTGAAAAAATTTCAGGCATTATTGTATTAACCCTATTGCCCCGGGTATCCTTTCCTGTGCATGACACAAGGTTTTAGTGACTTACATTCAAAATTTTATTGTATTACTTTTTGTTTATGTTATACCAATTAGAATAGCATAAAATCTTAACTTATAATCCATATTTTAATAGTATACAAGTTTTAAGTTCTTAATTATACAAGGGAATATTTAAAAAAATCCTTAATTTCCACTAGTGTGACCTTCATGACACATTTTGTCTTAGCATGTTATCATCCATATTTTATCCATCACCCCTCGAAAATGTACAAAATTAAACATAAATTACTCTCTATTAAATCATTATTGCTCAGACAAACCATAATTTTTATAGTCTTCAATTTTATTTGGTTAGATAGCTGTTGAAAAGAAAATCAGACCCCTCCTGCCACACCCACCTGGCACATACTCTTTCACAATTCGTTGATAGTTTTGTCTTACATTTCAATATACATTACCTATAACCAATAGAAACTCAAGGTTTTCATCTATTAAATGATGTATTGTATAACATTGTATTCTAGAATATCATCAATTTCACTAACAGTACAAGATTAATTCCCATGGGAAAGTTAAGGACTAGCTTGGATGAATTTGTAACAGCTCTTGTTGCATAGTGAGAAAGCCAGGAAAATTTTGAGAAGTGAATAAGTCTACTTTTTGCATGTTATTAGTCTAAATTCTTTGGTGCATTATTTAATTAAATAA